ATGGTGGTCGAGTAGATCATGTTGTGCGGGGTCGAGAACCCTCACCCCGCACAAGGGGGATGATCGCACCACGTCGTGTTAAAATGGTCAAGCACCCTCGAGGCAGTTACACAGTGCTTACAACTGTCTCTGGAAGTGAAAGCACCAGAAAATAAATTAAGTCATACGCAGCTGTCATCCGTACGCAAGGAAGTAAGCACAAGATGCCGAACACCCTTAGCAGGATGCAGCGCACCCTTCATGCGACTCGCCGAATATCTCACGGCGCTTCGCGCTTGGTGATGTGAGAGCCTGGTCCGGTGAGAACCCGGCGTGCTCCGTCCCGGCTTTGTAGGGATGCGAGGTCGATGGTCTAACGACTACGGCATGCACGACCATGAGTACACCCCCCAGAGGCAAGCCTTGTCGCTAAAACCCAACTGATACCCGACACCACACGGCACGCAGCATCATGACAGTAGCCCCTACTTTGTCTCCGTATGTGCCCAGAAAAAGTAACCGGCACCATACTGGACACCGGCAGCTGTTCGAAGTACCGAATGGCTTGAGAATTTATGGTGTGACCGCCGAAAACACCGGCAATCGGCACAAACAGGGACCTTTGTGCCTTTTACCGAAAAATCATGATTGTTGGATCACCTTAGGACCATCTTGCACGCCCGTTGAACCGTGAGCTCAACATCCACCCGGTGCACTCTCCACAGGGCCTATTCACAGCATCGGCCACGAGAAAGAGCCACCCCCCACAGCGACGTCGGCCCCGGACACATGGACGACGCGCAGCAGGGACGGATGGAGGGGAGAGAGACCAAGCCTTTACGTCACCCAATCAGCGTACTCCGCCAGTGTCAAGCAGAGCTGACGACGGGTCAAGGCAGGGATCATATGACAGGCAACGAGCCGATCCCATTTCGCACGACCAAAAGGGAGTTCCGTGGGTGTCTTGGCCACCGTATTGATGTACAACATCAAACTCTCTCAGCGGAGCCCCTTCCAACACTGCGGTTTTGTGCGTGTGTCTAGTCGTATCTGTCTTGGGCGCCAGTCTGCACCACTTGGAAAAGGCTTGACGCACCGACCGGAGCCACACAGGAGGAAGGTAAACACTGGCTGGAGATTTTCAGTCCCCTTCTCCGCCTTGCGTGCTTTCGATGACGGTGAAAACGGCTCAGCCCCACGAACGCCTCCGTTTCGATTCCCCCGACACGACGAAAGAGACGAAAAAAACACAAGACAACCAACAGCGACAGCCAACAGCAAACACCGCTGTGGTACTGGTGTACCTCCAAGACTCTCGTCGCGGTCTCCTCCTCGTCTGCATTGCTGCGGTCCACGGACGGCTGCTCTGGTTTCCTATCTCGCGTGAGGCGCGGTCGGGGGGGGGGGAGGAAAGGGGCAAACCCAGTGCGGACAAGACATGCAAAAAGAAAACAACAAACGTGCAAAAATGCACGAAGTTTATGTTTATTCAGTCAGAAAGAGCAAAAACAACACAAGTGCGAAACTGGGGTGCTATGTTTTTCAGAACGACCGCAACATATTCTTAAATATATTTTCCGTTCAAGATTGGAACATTCGTATCAATACTAAAACCCGCCCTTCGCACGTCATCAAATTTCTAGCAGACCTTCCACCACGACATGGGGTCGTCTCTGATTGGCGCCGGGCGAGCGCCATTAATTGACTGCTGTCTTGAGGAGGGTCATGCAGAAACGTGTGGGGGATGCTGGCACATGAGCGAAAACTCGCAGGCACCTCCGAACAGGAAGCCCCGGGATGCAATTTGAAACAGCCGACAAGTGTCCCCTACTTCATCGAGCTTGGAACGTTGAGGCATGCATGGCGCTATAACAACGCCCCGGTGCCGTTTAACCAGAACAAATCAACTAAGCACACCCATGGTCTAGTGGGTAGCCTCGCAGCCTGCTAAGGGCCAGGTCATGGGTTCGAGTCCCGGCAGAGAAAGTTTTTTTCTCACTACATAAATCCTGGTCTAGGATGAAAGCGACGCGCTGCAAAGCTCGTTTGTTAGTAAATCATAATCGACTTCGTAAGTCGCGAGGGAAGGGATTGCTGTACCCTTCTCGCGATAAAAATACCTCAGGCATGAACCGCAGGAGGGGGTCCAACCCCGCCCTCCTATGTGACCCCGGTTGGGTCGTCTAGCTAGTAGAAGTGGAGGATAGGGGCCAGAGGGGCAGACGACAGAGTCCAATGATGGGAGAAAAACAAAAAACAACAAAACAAACCCATTAGCCCCCCCTCGCAGCCACAGCCTTGAGGTTGACGCAGAAACTGGATGACACGCGAACCCCCCCTCACTACTGCTGCCATTTGCGCACACCCCGAAAGCATGACTGCACTCCAACAAAAGTACCGCCTCCCTCAACATATCCCTAGGTTTGACACAAGACACAATCAACAAACAAGCAAAATATTTCGTCTGGGAACATACAAAAATGTACCTCTATAGTGCGCAACACGATGAAATATAAATGACCAAACGTCACTACTGCTTCTCCAAACGTTTCCGCCTATGAACACAACACAAACAATATAACAAGTTGCGCTAAGTTTCCTAATCCATCTGCAACAAACTCGCACTCAGATGGACGATAAACGTAAGAATTACGAAAAGCCGGAAAATATTGCCTAATGTCACTATTTTGAAAAATTCACGCCTAGTCTGCAGATGAACGCACGACACAACAAGCTGTAACCCAATACCCTAACGATACTACTCCGTCTCCACCCACAAGTCTGCAGATGAACGTTCAACATAAAAAATACGAAAAGCTGGAATACATTGCCTGATGTCACTGTTGAAAAAAAATTGCGCATAGTCTGCAGATGAACCCACAACACAACACCGTAGGTCGTATACGATACCACACCCCATGGAGCGATAGAAATAGCTTCATTACTCCACGACGAAGAGGATGCTGACGTCGAAGGATACCTTGTGGGAACGCTCCCGACGAGACGGTTCCAACGCGGCCAGAAGTCGGCACCGTCTTTCTTTTCCTGCCGAGTAATCGAGCTTCGAAAATCGGACTAGGGGGTGTGATATCTTATGCAACCTACGGCAAGCACGCACACCTCACCCTAGCGTTTCTACTCAATCTCCAACCACTTCGCACCTGGTCTGCAGGTGGACGTAGAGCCTGGTCGTGGACGAAACCGCGGACAGCATGTTGTTAACCCGGTGGGCTTGATCCGAGTAGAACCTCATCCTGCCCCGAAGAGCCTGGGGCTGAAGCACGTTCGGCGCCAGCTTTCCCAGGGACCGTTGGGCATAGTTCTTGTACACGTAGCCCACAGTGCGGAGGATCTCGCGACCCATAGACTGACTCACGGGGAGAGAAGGGGGGAGGGGGGGTAGTAATGTAAACGAATGCCGTAGTCGGTAGATCATAGACCTTGCCTCCCTACAAAAATAGGGAAGGCGCGATATGCCGGGGGGGGGGGGGG